AATAATTATCAGAGATGTATCAACTGTGCAGAGAGAAATGCAAATAGCGATAAGCAGCTAAACGATCAGCATTCCAGTTTTTCAAAAGATTGCCCCAGCAGATTGCTAGAAATAGAAGATCTATGTAAAAGAATAAATTATGGCTAATAACAACGATAACAGTTGTTTAAAAGCACTGCAAATAAGCCTAGCAAGATCGCATGTCACCACCGCACAGCTCAAGAGGTGTATCTTCGTTTATGACATTGATTTTATTCACGAGCCATATTGCATAAATGGTAAAACGGCTGGTTTTCTGATTCAAACTAAAGTCATTTACTCATCAGACCAACTTCCGAAACGGCAACTATTGTGATTAATCCACATATAAATACTTTTACTTCATCATTCTTGATAATTACTACTTTTAAGATCGAACAAAGAACTCTTTCTATTTTCAACTGTTATAGTCAACCAATCACTGACTTAACAGATTTAATTACTCTACTAGATTTAGTGAAAAGATTTTTAAATAATGATCATGATATTCTTATTCTAGGAGACCTGAATGCCAAAAGCGAACTATGGGCCTCTCCATTTGAGGATCCCAGAGGGCGCATGCTTAGAGAATTTTTAACTGCACATAAGTTTGTTGTAGAGAATGATCTGGAAGGCCACGCAACGTACAACTGTACTAGGGGCAAGAGCTGGATAGATATTACCGCTTCAAGATCAGCATCCTCTTTGGCCTTTATTAAGAATTGAAATGTAATGGACAGTGTCACTTTAAGTAATCATTGCTATATTAACTTCGAAATTACATATCAAAATTCTATACATAACTCATGTGCAAAACACAAATTATCTAAAATGGACTGGCTATTTCTTAAGGAAAAACTTGGATATTATGACCCACAAGTAATTAAGGATACGATAAATCTCAATGAATTAATTATTAAATGGAAGAAATGTATCCAAGACTTTTGTGATTTGGCTATAAAGGCCAAGGCAAAGCACATCACAACACAGCACAAAGGAGTCCCTTGGTGGGCACCTGAACTTTCAATTCTATGGAAAAGAATTACGGCACAAAGAAAGCGTTTTGAAAAATGTACTCATGATGAAGAGCTCAGATCCCATTATAAATAAATCTATAAAAAGGAACTAGCTTTTATAAACGAATGTTGATGAAAGCTAAAAGAAATATGTGGAAAGTATACTTGGAACGACTAAGTCCAAGTTCTCCATTCGGCATACATTATGATATGGCAAAAGGAAATATGCAAACTCCTCTGCAATTAAAAGCGTTATTACAACCAGATAATACAAAAACAAGCACAATTGAAGAAACAATAAAACTCTTAATGGACTACCATTTTCCCAAAGACTCAAGAAATGATGACAAGGAGTATCATATGCAAATTCGAAATAACCTAAAGAATAGCTATGGTGCCTCAAATGATATTCCCTTCACTGTACAAGAAGTGGAATATACCATAAAATCTTTAAATCTAGGCAAAGCACCTGGAATAGATCACCTACCAAAAGAAATAGTAGCAGAAGTTTTTTTATGCAAATCCTATACTTCAAACAACACTTTTTAATGAACTCTTCCGATGCGGCTGTTTTCCAGATTGTTGGAAGACAGCAAAATTAATTTTATTTTCAAAAGAAAGATAGAATGGCGAACTACCTGATGCTTATCGGCCAATCTGTTTACTCAATTCATGGAGTAAAGTTTATGATAACTTATTAACAAATAGATTATCTTTCTTCTTGCATTCCCAAACTATGTGGACAACAATATAGCTTCACAGCTGGGAAATGTTCAGCGAATGCTATTAAAGATATTATTTTCCGTATAGAAGATAATCGAAGAAATTATAATTATACTAATGTCATATCATTAGATATTAAAAGTGCCTTCAACAATATCTGGTGGCCATTTTTACTTCAAGAATTGCGTAACCTGGGTTGTCCATATAATATCCATAAAGCGTTTGAAAATCTTTTGGAAAATTGACATATCATTTATGAGATCAACAATAAACAATACTCTCAGAAACAACAGAAAGGCTGTGTACAAGGTTCCAATTCCAGACCATTGTTCTGGAATATTGTCATGAATACTGCATTAAGAATTGAATATTGCGAGGACATTCATGTTCAAGCATATGCAGACGACGTTCTCTTGTTAATTATTGGATCGACCCATATGCAAATTCAAGCATGAGCAAAATTAGCCCTGCAAAAAGCCGGTGGGAAAGTTTGATATTTATAACAAAAGCATTATTGAAATTAAGAAACTACTTTCTACACAAAAGCAAAACTGCATTGGATTCGTGGACACCAAGGGTCCATCGGCAATGAAAAAGCCGACGAAACAGCAAAACAAGGAATCTACTCGTCAAACAGAATCAACTGCAAGATACAAATGAGCTTTATTGTTAGAACAGCAAAAGTTAAAGCAAATAATATCTGGCAAAATGAAGAACAGGAAGACATACATATATGCTCTTGCCAAAGGTTTTGGAGAAACGCCATCTTAGCGACTTCTTTCTCAATCAGATCATAACCAATCATGGAGCATTTCCAAGTTACATTAACAGATTCAAGTTAAAAGAAACGAAATGCAAATGTCAATGTGGACGGGAAGCAGCGGACGCACTTCATATGATAATTGAATGTCCAAGCGTTCCTACTAAAAGGCGTGAGATCTTCAATTGACCATTGTCTATGGATCATTGCTATATTAACTTTGAAATTACATATCAAAATTCTATACAAAACTCATGTGCAAAATACAAATTATCTAAAATGGACTGGCCATTTCTTAAGGAAAAACTTGGAAATTATTTTGTGACTATTGACCCACAAATAATTAAGGATACGATAAACCTCAATGAATTAATTATTAAATGGAAGAAATGTATCCAAGACTTTTGTGATTTGGCTACAAAGGCCAAGGGAAAGCACATCACAACACAGCACAAAGGAGTCTTGGAGTCAACACAGCACAAAGGAGTTTAATACAAGTTCTGAAAAATCTTGTATTAAACGACAAGGGATGATCTCTTCTCTCTAATTTTATGGAATATATTTACCATAATGAATCTCAATTGTATACATAATCAACTGATTGTATTCCTCTTATTTTAATTATAACAAAATGTATTAATTGATATTATTATCTATAAGAAATAACCTCTGTATTTTTATGCTTTATGTTATCGATCAATATTCTATAACTTCTTCTTCCAATGTAACAAAGTGTTATTTAAGTTTGTCTTGACTATTACATTTACACATCATTAATTTCATGATAATATGTATAACATAAATTGTATTCAATAAAGAAGTGAGGGCAATACATCTAATTCATACTAGGTATTCAACAAATTTCTTAAATTCGGTTTTAGATGTCTTTGAGCATTAGGCTTTAAACTTGCAAAATTTTTAGCCTATGGCTCTGGTGATATCTCTGCTTAAGAGGTGAGGACCAGATTTTCCATTTTCATGTTGTAATGAAACACTATGACCAAACTAAATAAAAGCTTATAAAAATGGACGTTGAATCAGTCCTACTTAAGGATAACTGCTAGATAAATCTGATGAACTTTTCACATATATCTTTTATTATTTTACTCCCAGTGCTTTTTCTTTTCCTCATTCCATGCATTTTTGTTTACTAAATTCTCACAGCTATGGATATAGGATGATTTACACTATTTCTTAAACAGCTATCTGCCAAGAGATTAATGAAAGCTTTCTCCTTCAAGTACTTTACCATTTGAATGAAGGATCCAGAAAATATTCAGATTTTTAAAAATTTGAACAAAGGAGTTTGAAAGACATTTAAGAACTTCAGTTATAAACACAATTTCATACACCAAAATATCATACTTTAGCTTTTGACTTAGTTTGACAAAGGTGGCATTTCTGACAATTTATTATATTTCTTCTTTTCTGCAACTTGAAATTATTTGAAATTATGGTACTATTCTGTTTTGAGGGCCGTAAGAAAATTGCAGCGAAAATGTATGCGCCAAATCTAGCAAAAGCGCCCATTTAACAGCACGCCAAATCTAGCGTACGCGTTATTTCAGATTGCGTAAGTTTATATAGTTCTATATTTTTTAAGATGCCAGTGAAATACTAGTTTAATTTTTAAATCCTTTTTTGATTTTAAATCCTTTTTTGATATCCTGTGGATTTAACAATTTGGGAATTGCCCATGACGAAAAGTCGGCAATAGAATTTTGGGTAAAGTGCAGAATCACCTACTGCTTGACGCGTTTTTAAGAATTGCACATACTCCGTATCCATGTGCACATCGACCTATTTTCAGTTTAAAAAAAATCCTAGAATTGCACAAAAATGGCACTGTGCACACCATTGACTTTATCTATGTACACATCGACCTATTTTCACTTTAAAAAGTAAAAGAAAATGGATCAAAATCCAATTGTTTTTACCCTTGTAAAAAGCGGCAAACAAATAAGTGAGCGATTCTGCACTTTACCGAGAATATGTTCAAAGAAAAGGCATCATTCATTATAGAAAATTACGTTTGAACAACCAACGAGATGATATTATGCTTTGCGAAAAGTCGGTAGCGAAATAGCGATGCAGGCATCCATTCAGTTACGTTTAGCAATTTTTATATAAATTATAATAATGATGTGAAATAATTATTTACTCTTATGCTTCCATTCAGTCATGTTTACCCTTTTTTATATAAATTATAATAATAAAAAAGTATTGTATGAAATTAACCTTTCATCTAAATTAAAACAGCAATCTTAGATAGTTATTTACTATTATACTTCCTTTCTTCCCGCAATTATAAGGGTTGCTGCAATTCTTTTTGGCAGCATTGGCATCAACGTTAATTTGACGATTTTTTACGGCCCTCGAAACCGAATAGCACCGAAATTATTTTATACTTTAGCAGTGAAAATAAATATTTGAGAAAACTATTTTATCTTTTAAAAATACACTTCAGTATATGCTAAAATTACTTAAAAGGATATTCTAGCATCATGTACTTCGATAATGCAATCCACAGTTGCCAATTTAGCTTGCATCTGCAGCAAGCCTGAAAATACACACATAAATAACATAAAAATCAAATTATATCAGTTTCAAAAGATAAAGCTGTTTATAATCTGTAATTCATAAACCATAGTTTACATAAATTGTGTACTCCCAAAAATGTAAAAAGTGCAGTAATAGCAATAATAGCAATTGGAGATCAAACTTCTGACTAAATCAAATATTTAAACAAATCTAAAAAATTTCAGTTAATTGTTATTTCAAATTTTAATCCAGAAATTTAAACACAATAAAAAACATGAACATAAATGAAAAAACTTCATAACTGATACATTTATATTTTAAGAGTGAAGAGTATTGTACAAATCACACTACTATTGGATAAATCATTATTGTGGTAAATATTGAAAAATCATGGTTTTTAGGTAAAAGTATATTTATGGGTGCCCTTTGGTGAAACTTGGCAATTTTTGGCAGTACATGGAAACCGAGTTTGTGCAATTCTTTGACTGGTTATTTTGGCTTGTGTAACACATTTTTGGTGCAAAAATCACCACTACACAAAGCCAAAATAACAAGACAAAGAATTGCACAAACTCGGTATCCATGTGCACATCGACTTGTTTTCACTTTAAAAAAATCCTCCCGGAATTACACAAAAATGGCATTGTGCACTCCCTTAACTTTATCAGTGTACACATTGATCTATTTTCACTTAACATCAGAGAACTGCACAATATATCCCTTGACTTTGTCCATGTACACATCGAACTATATTCACTTAAAAAGTCAATGGAGCAGCCAACAAATATATATAATCTCAATAAACTACATTTTAAATCAAACAATTAAATAAAATAAAAAAGGAAATTTGTAGGCAACAATTATTATTGGTCATAATAACTACAACTACTTTTACTAGATAATAACTATTACTTTCACTTCACCTTTTGCTTAGCTTGAAGTGTTGTCATGACTGAAATCACAAGGAGTTAGCGAGCGCTACAAAGAATAATAAAGATGTTATAATATGGAAAAATTTATTCTTGCTTTTGTTTTTTGCCGTTTAAATCGTTATAAAAAAGAACTTTGTAAGCAACTACAAATTCATCTTTGCACTACACAAAGAAAATATCCATTTACCTTATTTATGAATTAACAAGTCTTCAGTCAAACAAAATTCTTTAACAGCATTCAAAAACTTCCTAAAATTATCTAACTAGAATCTGTATACTGGCATTGCCACATAAATTCACAAAATAAGAGTCAAAAATATCCACCGTAGCGATGTTCGACCATACGCATTTCCTTCCTACAAACAGGACACCTAATAATGGCTACTAAGTAAACCTTCATTTACACACCAGTCAAGTAATGCTCTTTTGCCCTCTCTTTCCAAATCGTACAGAAACTTCAAATTAATCTTACCACATTCAGCCATTTTACCGTCTAATAAACAACAAAACAAGCAATATACTTCCCAACCAACACACACACCACAAGCCCTTACGAATTTACCGCAGTTATGCAACCCATTACATCATAATAGGGTTTTCATAACATTCAACTACTCAGGCTACCATAAATGAAACAACAACTTGGCGATAAATGAAACAACAACTTGGCAATAAATGAAACAACAACTTTGCAAAAATTCACGGGGTACCCTTCTCCCTACTCTAACCTTTTCTTTTTATGGTTAGTCTATATATTTTAGGTATCCCTTGGATTATGGCCAGTGTTGTTTCATTTGGTAACCTGAGTAGTTAATGTTATGAAAACTTGTTGACTAATGGTGTAATGCACGATTGCTGTGATTTTGACTCATGGGAAAATATTTGTAAGGGTATATAAGTGTTGGATGTTGTTAGGAAGTATGATGCTTTATTTTGTGCTTACAATGTAAAATGCCTGCTGGTGGTACAATTAACCTGAGGTTCTGTACCCTTTCAAACGATTGGGAAAGAAACATTAATTGACTGGTGTGTTAAGGAAGATTTAATAGCTCGTTTACCTCTTGGTAATTACATCGTGTAGATTAATATTTGGAAACCGAGCTCATATCAACACTATAGAAGTATGCGGGGGTGTACTAAAAGGATTTTTGAAGAAATGCGACGACGTCCAGAGGATATTTTTCATTTTTACTTTTTGATTTATTACGACACGGTATATACAGAATTAAGGAATTCTGTGTGTACACATATCGAAGAATACAAGTTTAAATAAGGTAATTGATATTTCCTTTTTGTACGCTTAGTTAAATAACATGTCTTATTTATGTTATATTATTTATTAAAAATGAATTTATGTTTTTGTTTCATTTATGTGTTTTATTGCATTATGTTTTTACGACATTACTGGGGACTGTGTTGAATGTAAAAGGAATGGTGCCAAGAAATCACCAGGGATACCCCACAATATATATTTACCTTTTTTATTATATTAATTTAATTTTGATCTGAAATATTACAAATCACATACAACTAAATATCATTATACTAATAAGCATAAAAAGAATTATGCCTCTAGACAATAGGCCCGCCAGTGGCCAAGTGTAAAAAAATACCGAATATGATAATTTGATCAGGGGTTTGAGGCCCGACAAATGAGCTGGCTGCATGTCCTTTTCGTAGTTTCACAACCTTAGTATGAGCATAAAAAAGGCAGTTTCTCTTAAAAATTGCCACATAGGACATCCCTCTCTTTCTGTAAAGTGCCTAATGGCAGCACAAATAAACATAGGAAAATAAGTATTATAATTAAACATTGGGAGATTGTTAATTGCTTGATTTATGTTCAAAGTTAAACAAAAGATACATAGAGAAAATTTAATTATTGAAGAAGGTGTCCTTTCCTTCATCCCTAAAAGTGGGGAACTATCTACAAGAAGCACTGCACTGAAGTTGAATTCTTAGAAAGCACTAATTATAACAGTGTTATTTAAGAGGGGGAAAGAGTTTTGAGCATTTTTATGTGAACAGATCGGTTCATTTTATTCTACTAAAATTTAAAAGTTCAAATTTATACAAATAAACTCAATCACGGTATTCCCCTCTAGCTTTTAGCATAGGTCCTGAAATGTTCAATATTAGTTCCTCTATATAGTCTAGTGTTTTCATTTACTAACAAGATACAGGGAAGCAAAAATGAATAAAGATATCTTATTAATATTGTAAATTAATGTTACTATGTATTCATTGCATAGGGTTTCTTTAATAATACATTCCAGTCCTTTAATCCGGACTCGTTGCGACTCGGCTATTCCGGATTATTATTTTTTTCGGATTATAATTATCAGTTTAAATCTGGTAAGATGACTGCAGAAATTATAAATTAAAAAATATGAAACTGTAACTTATGAAATAAAAGGCAATCATGATCTACAAAGTATCAAAATTTCAAAAAAAAAAGCTTAATATTTATTTGTTTACTGTATTAAACAATTCTTTTAATGCGCGCATGGGTAAAGCATACATTACCCATAGTCAAAATTAGAAAATTGCAACCAGAAAACTATTTGATGTATATTCATGATATTTATAATGACAAGGAAATTGATTTAAATCATATCAATGACGAAGTACATCGAGATGAAATACTACATTTAGTAAGGAATTATAAGCCGAATAAAATAAAAACATCTGCCCTGAAGATAAGGATAGTGCTGACAGATCAACTTCCAGTTCATTGCGTGCCATGACGTTTCCCCCTTCCCCGCAGAGCAGCATGAAATTGATAAACAGATTTTGGAATGGTTAGAAAAACAAAGGATATGCCTTTATTCATTTTTTGCAGCAATTCCACTTTTTGTTTGATGAACATCAAAACATGCTTTCGCTTTGTAGATCCTTTGGCAGCTCCAGAATCGGAAATTCTTTTTTCATAATTGAAAGTTCAAGCTTACTTTTATAAAATTGCTCTAACAGTCTGCAAAAAAATAATACGCCGGATCCAATTAGAAGATTAAGGAACACGCAATCTGTAACATTACTGAAATAGACAATTAGATCATTTAGCTTAGCTTATACCATCCGTATACATTAAACGCAATGTGTAAACATATTTGCACAGTGTAACGCTTGAGCATGCAAAATTTTGTACTTTGAGGTTCGATTATAATCATTCCGATTATGACGTCCGGATTACAGACGTTTGACGTATTGTGATATTTATCATAGTTTTCCATAAATACTTTTATTTACCGTCCTTATTTAAAATGTTCATCGAAATTAAATCAAAACTCGATACTTGATTTCGTAGATAAAATTAGCGAAGAAAGACTGGAACACCCAGGTAATATGGTACTTCAAACAAACAAAAATATTTTAATATTCCCCAGAAGCCTGCAATGCCTTTATAACTCTGTCTCTATAAAGATCTATTAAATTACCCACGTGGCAACGTTTCTTTTTTAGATATAGTGGTCCAAAAATGTTCACAAGCTTAAGAGTTTCAGTTAATATTATATTTCATTAAAAAGTAATATTTTGAATGAAAGTTTTTTAATAATATGTATAATTCTATTGCAAAACTGCAATCATATTTATGACAAATTAAAACAGCTTTTCATTTTTTTTTTGCTTTTTTTTGTAAAATCAATATAAAAGTAAAGAAATGTTACCCAAAATTTCTCATGGTTTACAAAATCTGCATATTAGTAAATCTTTACTATTTCTGTCGTATTTATAGTAAACAAGTTAACTGGTTTTTGGAGGGGAGGGGATTATGTCTGAATCAATGTTCCTCATTTATTACTTTTTAGTTTGGTTTTTGTTTATTACTGTTTTTAGTTGGTTTGTTTTAATTTGTGTTCTATACTCTAACATCTATTCTTACAATATTGATCTGTTGTGTTTAAATCTGGTTATGAAGTGGTGTTTTCAGACTTGTAGACAACGATATACACCCAAAAGCAAAATTGAGGGCCGTGTTCGTAGGATCATATCTGATAAAAAGTAAGTTGTTCCATCTCATATTATGGCAGAAATTTTAAATATC